TTCACAAGTTTATTTCTTAGTTTCCTTAGACAGCTAATTACACTTATGGTTAATCTAACCATAGGTTAATGATTCTATAAAAACGATCCAGTCTCCATCAAGAGTCTGGGTACTATTACATTTACAGGCAAAGTATGTTTCTGTCAAGTGTATCCATGGCCAGTTACAAATATATATATATATTACTCAAATTATTGAAGTTACATAAGTTTCCTTTTCTGCTTTATTTCTAAGAAGAAATAGTAGGAAGAAATACTTCTCTAATAGCAGGGGTGCAAATAAGCAGAGATTTTATCCTTAGCAGTACACCAAATAAAGAACGATCCTTTTAGGGGTAGAAAATACAAACACTTTCACTGACTTCCAGTAAAACCTACTTTCATGCTATCCTCCTTGTCTCCATTTCACAGCAGCCACAAAGCTGTCATATAGTTTGCAATACTTCACAGTTGTTAGTCAAAAAGAATGATGAGTCAAGATTGTGGTGAATTCTCAGAGCTACAAATGGAACATTTTCAAAGAAAACAGATATTAAAAAAAAAAGTAAATCTCAAAATTACTTCAAACACTTCTGGCAAGAAATGCCCTCCCTATTTTTCTTAAGGAACAAACAAAACTGAAAGGGGTGAACAGCTCTTACTTGAATCATAATTATAATAGAGCCTTGCTAATATTAACATTTGACCTGGAAGTACCTCAATACCTCAACCTCTAAAACTGCTGCTCTTTGTCTCTCTAATGAGACTGTTCCTTGAGCAGACTGCAGAGGTTACTCACCCAACTGTATCTCTCTTGGCCAATTTGAAACAAAAACACCCATGAAACAACCAACCAAACACAAATGTCTCATTGTCTACACAAACAGGAGTAAGTAGACAGCAGCTAACGTGTGAAGCTTCACTTGGCCAGTTTTTCTCTTGGGTCTAAATATTGTGACTGATACAGCAAGTACATTTTTGACAGTTGGAAGAGTCTACAACAAAACATTTGGTCTGCTGAATTCTGCAGTCAAAGAAAGTTGAAGGACAGTTAGAGTAGTTTTGCTTCTTCTGAATTATCTCTAATAGATTAGATCAGGACAATATTTCTGTTGAAAAGGACCTACAGCGATCATCTAGTCCAACTGACTGACCACTTCAGGGCTGACCATAACTTAAAACATGTTCTTAAGGGCATTACCCAAATGTCTCAAACACTGACAGGCTTGGGGCATCGACCACCTGTCTAGGAAGCCTGTTTCAGCGTTTGACCGCCATCTCAGTAATAAAATGCTTCCTAGTGTCCATTATAAACCTCCTCTGGAGCAGCTCCGAGCCATTCCCCTGCATCCTACCCCTGGATACCAGGAAGAAGAGCTCAGCACCTCCATCTCCATTTCCCCTCCTCAGGAAGCTGTAGAGAGCAGTGAGGTTGCCCCTCAGCCTCCTTTGCTCCAAACTAGACAAGTCCTTAGCAGCTCCTCACAGGACATACCTCCAGCCCTTTCAGGAGCTTTGTTGCCCTCCTCTGGATGCATTCGAGGACCTGAACATCCTTCTTGAATCGTGGTGCCCAGAACTGCACGCAGTACTCAAGGTGAGGCCGCACCAAGGCTGAATACAGTGGGATAGCAGGGTATCTGTTGTTTCTGACAATCTTTACAAATCCCAGAAATTTTCACACATCCATGTGTGGATGTTGGGGAGGTTCCTACAGATCTCCTTTGGGGAAAAAAATGAAGAAATAACCAAATGCTATGTCTGTTCTCAGAAGCAATCCCTTCTACTGAATTCCTATCTTCTCTCTCAACAGAACACAATTCTTAAATAAGGAAAGTCAAATTATTAAAGCATTTAATGGCATAAAGGATTTTGCTCTAGATACCAGATTCCTAGAATGACTTATTTCACAATGCCGCCACAAGTAGGTAGGAGTAACACAGGGGATCCCACACCTGTGACACCAGAGAGAAACACCAATGTCCTCTGCTCTCCAGCAGCCTTCTGGTGTCTTCCAAGAATTTCCCAATTCTTTTCCAGTATTTTTCCCTTGTCCAGGATAATAAGTTCTGCTCTATTCAATAAGGAACCTTCAACAGTTTTTGAGCTGCATCCTTGAGGTCAGGCTATTTGTAAATTGTAATCAAGTAGGTGAAGCCAGTACAGAGTACTACAGGGTTCAACGTGATGGCAGTATCAGATAATTAATGTCATTAACTTCCCCAAGCAATCACTTTTCATTGACTTTAACCATAATCAGGATCACAAAAATTTCCTGCAAGAAAATGTATTGCCTTAGTAACTACATCCAGGAAAATAACATATTCACCCATACTCAGGAAAGACTACAATATAGCCAAAATATATCAACTGCTACTGTTGGGTTTTTTTTTCCCCTTCACTTATCAGAAGGGGTTTTCCTGCATTTTCTCCTCTTCTCCCAAAGAACACCACTCGTCTTTGCAAAATAGGAGCATCTTATCAAAATACTCATTCACTCCACTAGCAATTGCAGTCTCTAAATTTTTGTAAGCAGTTATAGCCATCTTAGACAAGTCAGCAAATGTCAAAAGAAAAAAACAAATTACTGCAAAGCTAGAGGGATTGTTTTACAATTATTACAATGGAAGAGCAGAAGAATAAATGACTTACAGTTTAGCTATTTCTTAACTAAAGTCTGAAATGTAACAGGGGAAAAAATACAGTAACACATAAATATTAAGTCATCAGAAAAACTTCTGGTGACAGATAAACACAAAACAAAAATCCCAAGTTGACAAATTCATATACAATAGGAATTCAACAAAAAATCCCCCATGGGTGCCTTAAGCTATCAATGTTTTAAATTAAAATTCTGTTGCAATTTATGCAGCCATTAGTGCATTTGAAGCAGATACAAATAAAGATGGAGGGGAACTTGGTATTATCTATCACTCAGGTTAGAAGCAAGGTGGAATTAGGGGGGTAAAAAGAAGGTATTGAATGTTTATAATAGGTAATGAAAACAATCATACATATCCTACTCACTAAACAAAACCCAATACCTTACCAAACAAAACTCTTAAGAAGCAGTTTAGACTTTGAGAGAGCTTACATCTTTCAAATAACAACCTTGCCTGGAATTTCTTATAGTTCATTCTACAAACAGCTGTAGCACATTTTGTACATTAAAGAAGGATATTAAACTTGATAGGATACCAGTCTGACTTCAGTTGGATTCCTTTTGTTCCAAGCATTTTGTCTTAATGAATCACTGACCACATTCAAAAAAGTAGCAGCTGAACATGAGGTTCTAGACAGACTTCCTATCCTGGATGCAGGGTATCAATGGGAGACGATTAATACCATCACTCTCAGTTACAACAGCCTGAAGAACAAGTCTTGGTTTGGTTTTACTAAAGTAACTGGACACACCCCCTTGAAGAACATGGACAAGTTTAAACATACACTTAACCTAAGTGAGCGTAAAAATAATATTTTTGATTGGATGTTTCTGTAGACCTGAAAACACTGGTTAAGTGTTAAGAGTGATCCCTAAAGCTTTAGAACCTTCAGAAGTGCAGTTACTTGTCAGCAGCAATGCCGTGAAATCCTTCACAGGCACACAAGTGTGCTTATACAAGATACCCAGGAATGCACATGCCTACACTGAGAACTAGAAAGTGACGTGAGCTCTTGAAGCTTAGTATTGTACTCCATTCACACAAAAGGCTATGCCAAATTTCAATAATTATGTTTGCAGAAGCATTGCTGAGACCTCATTATAGGTTCTATTACATTACTTATGTTCATCCCATTGTATCTGATACAAATTGTGCAACTACAAAAAGACAGCATCTTTCTGTGTGTGTGTGTCTGAAAAAAGAGCGGCTACACACATGTGAAAAGAAAAGTTGCAGCAAACAAACCAGCAACAGCAGAAAAAATAACGTTCTCCCTACCCACTCAGTTTAGCACTGCTTAAATACCAGGAGTAAGGTTTATGCTTGTTTTCAGAGCAGATAACCTGGCCTCATCTCTCACCAGTGCATGTAACATCACAATGTAGAGTAAGGTACATTACATTCATAAACATAAACTGGCTATAAAATAGATGCATTTGAGATTACACCATCAGGATACAGTGACAGGACAAAAGCCCAGGAATTAACTCACACTCCCATACTAACAGCATTTAAATTCCATTAGCCATCAACTAGTAGCATTTTACAATTAGGTCTGATTTAAAATAATTCTTAAATAATAATAATAATAAGGTATCTCTCAGCGGAGGTAGCATCCAAGATAAATAGAGCTCAAGTAAGCATATCTGTTTTAATTGAAAAAGCAAATCACAGAATAACAGCACAAAGACTGTCCTGTACTTTACTGCTGTCTGTGTAAAGAGGTCCCAATGCCACTTTCAGGGATGCACTTCAGAACAGGCAAATACATTTTCATTTGTTATTCCCATTCTAATACAAAACTAAGAATCTTTGCATAAATAGAGTCTTAAACCTCTTAGCACCAAGTGGGACAACTGACCAGTACTGCTTTTGCATATTCTCATAATCCTACATGTTTGACTATGCCACAAAATGAAGGTGCAGTTATGGCAAACCCTCTCAGCTGTGCGGCTTCTTTCCAGTTATTGTCACCATAGCAGTTACCATTATTGTTACCATAATAACCTACTCCCACTATTGTTACCCTATTACCATTAATTCAGTCTAGGTACATGCTACTGTCACACTTTCATTTCAATATCCTAAGAAGTTATTTATGCCCAGAATGCCTGTGTGGTCCCTCCAGTTCATTTTGAAACTTTCAACAAACAAACAGTAAAGAATTATTTTTATTTATTTATTCATTTCAAATACTTTGCCCTCCCAGGTAGGCAGCATATACTCACTGAATGTTCCCAATTCAAAACTACCTAAAGAACAAGAGCCAGAGCCTAAAGACATTATAAGGGTTATTGAAATATTCATAGATAATACAAGAGCTAAAGTTTCAAGTTGCTGGTGTCACGAAACTACTTACCCTGTCCTTGCTGCAGCTGCTCCGAGCATCCCTGTTGGGCAGCGGGGCCCTACCAAACCGCGGGCACTCCGGGGGGAGGAGGGCCCATTCCCCCGGTCTCAGCTCAAGCAGAACCGAAATACCAGGTTGTCTTCCGCGGCAGGGAGGGGGAGAGGGAGGGAGGGAAGGAGCCGGGGGCCGCCCAGCCTCCTGCCTGCCGGGGAGAGGCGGGGTGCGGCTGCGGAGGGGGTCGCCTCCTCGGGGCACCCC